AAACTAACACACAAGTATGTCTTTTACAAAAAGCTAAAACTATATACATTAACCACTCCATTTCTCTTAGGCCTGCGGTTATACAAGGGTATATAAGACAGAAAGTCACATTTCACCATGCGGCCCTAGCATTAGTCCATATTGACACGAATCAGGTGAACACATTTCACAAGGCTTAAGTTGTATATTTAACAGCTACCCCAAAATAAATTTACTGTACTTGCTCCTCATTGTAAATGACTGACAAGTTTAATAAAAACAGTTCTTAAACTCAGAAATTGAAATTGTAATAATTTCCTTAAAGTCCATTACTTTCTATTAGTATTTAAGCTATAACATTTCATCTCTTTGCTTCTTTTGTTATGCCTTTGCTTTCTTTTAAAATTTCTGATTCTATGAAACAGAAGCTACAAAAAGCAAAAGATAAAGGGTCTATGTGGGCCTTTCAATAGAAGCCAGAGGCTAATAGTTTTTCATAATGACACATTTTAAATTCAGATTTACAGTGATGGCTTTTGGGACAGTTTTTAAAAACTGCTGAGAGTTTAATATGTGTTTAATGAGAGCCTGTCTACCTTCCTTATAACAACAGGGAAAGGGAAAAAGCCTGGTAAATATTTTTATTTAATTCCTAAGGAGGGGTTCAGTTTTGGAAAGACCACCCACCTGAAGGTAGCAATTACAAGGACTGAATGGAAGAGTTAGGTCCTACAGGATTTATTATTGCTAAGACTATATATCAGGAGAAGATACAGGTATGTTCTTGTCTTTAGAGCATGTTAGGTATTTTATTTTCTCAAACCTTAGTAGTTAGAGGTCCTACTGTCCATAGTGTGAGTGTAGTTTGTGCTAATAAACAAAAAAATCCCACAGGAAAAAAAAATGATAAAAAAACCACCTGTGTGAATTTAGGACATGTATTCCCTCATTTTTTTGCCTTCTCTGACTCCCCTCGAGTTTTAACTAAGATATTGTTATTAGGTCTATATATTATAAAGTTCTATAAGGAATGGTCATGATTGTACTTTAACAATTAACCTAAGGACTTATGTTTTATGCTCAGCTCTGTTGATATTTCAGTTTTTCTCCTTTTTGAATGAAATTCTTGCACCACTGAAGTCAATGACTGCAAAAAAGTGAAGATATTACTTCTCTGCCTTAGTTTATCCATCTATAAATTTCTTTATTTACTTTCAGTCACCACTCCAACATGCTATGAAGTTTAATCAGTTGCTTGAAGATTCTGTGGTGATACAAGATAACTAAACTATCAACTTCTACAAAACTTAATTTTTTGGGTGGTGGGGTTTTTTTCGAGTTCCTATTTTCCATTCTTATGCAGGTCACTTAAAAATGTAAATTAATATAATTGAAAATACACTTATAGCAAAACTGTCTGAGTTTTCTAACAAAATGTTGCATACATTAACAACAAAAGGAGGGCTAAGGAGAAGCTCCGTCCTCTATTGCATGCGGGGGAAATATAGTGACTGAGGATGAGTAAAAGGCTGAGATACTTAATGCTACCTTTGCCTCAGTCTTTAATAGTAAGACCAGTTGTTCTCCAGACCAGCCTGCTGAGCTGGAAGACAGGGATGGGGAGCAGAATGAAGCCCCCATAATCCAAGGGGAAATGGTTAGCAACCTGTTACACCACTTAGACACACACAAGTCTATGGGGCCAGATGGGATCCACCTGAGCGTATTGAGAGAGCTGGCGGAAGTGCTCACCAAGCCACTTTCCATCATTTATCAGCAGTCCTGGCTAACCAGGGAGGTTCCAGTTGACTGGAGGTTAGCAAATGTGACACCCATCTACAAGAAGGGCCAGAAGGAGGATCTGGGGAACTACAGGCCTGTCAGTCTGACCTCAGTGCCAGAGAAGGTTATGGAGCAGATCATCTTGAGTGCCATCACGTGGTGCATACAGGACAACCAGGTGATCAGGCCCAGTCAGCATGGGTTCATGAAAGGCAGGTCCTGCTTGACTAACCTGATCTCCTTCTATGACAAGGTGACCAGCTTAGTGGATGAGGGAAAGGCTGTGGATGTTGTTTACCTGGACTGTAATAAAGCCTTTGACACTGTTTCCCACAGCATTCTCCTGGAGAAACTGGCTACTCATGGCTTAGATGGGCATACACTTTGCTGGGTAAAAGACTGGCTGGATGTCTGGGCCCAAAGAGTTGTGGTGAATAGAGTTAAATCCAGCTCATGGCCAGTCACAAGTGGTGTTCCCCAGGGCTTGGTGCTGGGGCCAGATCTGTTTAATATCTTTATCAACAATCTGGACGAGGGGATCAAATGCACCCTCATTAAGTTTGCACATGACACCAAGTTAGGCGGGGGTGTTGATCTGCTTGAGTGTAGGAAGGCTCTACAGAGGGATCTGGACAGGCTGGACCGATGGGACGAGGCCAAATGCATGAGGTTCAACAAGGCTAAGTGCCAGGTCCTGCACTTGGGTCACAACAACCCCATGCAATGCTACAGGCTTGGGGAAGAGTGGCTGGAAAGCTGCCCAGTGGAAAAGGACCCAGGGTTATTGGTTGACAGCCAGCTGAATATGAGCTAGCAGTGTGCCCAGGTGGCCAAGGTGGCCAATAGCATCTTGGCTTGTATCAGAAATAGTGTGGCCAGCAGGACTAGGGAAGTGTTGTAGTCGGCACTGGTGAGACTGCATCTCGAATACTTTGTTCAGTTTTGGTCCCCTCACCACAAGACATTGAGTTGCTGGAGCACGTCAAAGAAGAGCAATGAAGCTGGTGAAGGGTCTTGAGCACAAGTCTTATGAGGAGCGGCTAAGGGAACTGGGGTTGTTTAGCCTGGAGAAAAGGAGGCTCAGGGGAGACCTTATCGCTCTCTACAACTACCTGAAAGGAGGGTGTAGAGAGGTGGTTGTCAGTCTCTTTTCCCAAGTAAGAAGTGGTAGGACAAGAGGAAATGGCATCAAGTTGTGCCAGGGGAGGTTTAGATTGTATATCAGGAAAAAATTCTTCACTGAAAAGGTTGTTGTTCATTGGAACATGCTGCCCAGGGAAGTGATAAGGTCACCATCCCTGGAGGTATTCAAAAGACGTGTAGCCATGGTGCTTAGGGACATGATTTAGTGGTGGACTTGGCAATGTTAGGTTAATTGTTGGACTCAATGATCTTAAGGGTCTTTTCCAACCTAAATGATGCTATGCTTCTATGATTCTGTGGCTCAGCAACAGCAGAATCTGCAAGTTCACTTCTTTGATTTTGTTCTCTGGAGGCCTGTTTGGTGGGGAACCTGTTGTTTTCAGGAGGCAGCTCCAAAAAAACCTGTCCGTAGATAGCTAATCAGGCCTGCCTTAGAGTTTTCCAAATAAAGAAAGAAGTAGAGTTAATTCCTGGTACCGAACTCAATTTGTTCTGACTCTGTATTAGCTGAATCATGTCAGCCTAATAGTTCTTCAGAATTGTATCAAAACAGAACAGAATTATACAGTGTCAGAAAGCCCTTACAAACAGAACTGTGTGTGTCACTTACATTTCCTCTATAATACAAAATGCTTTTCAGTGATACCGTAAAACTCGGTCAAAGAAAACCCTCTAAGACTTGTTTGAAAGTTTTAGAAGGCAGGCATTCTTTATTGCAGCGCTAGATGCACGGGGGATCACTTCTCCTAGTGTGCATGTTGTATGTTGCTTCAGACACAGCTTATATACAAAAAGACTGTAGAAGATAAGGGTGGAACTTCTCAAGGCCCTTAGGCCTACTCAAGCTATGCATAGAAAATAACTGTAGAAGATAAGAGGAATTTCCCAAGGTCTTTAGGCCTAGTGTATCATCAGGAGCAATTAAGCAAGGCTTAAGTAAAGGCTAACCGAATTATGTTAGAAACAAATTTACCATTTGTAAGATTTTATGTCATAAGCTTTTGATTTGGGGAAATATTCACAGGTTATCAATGAGTAAATTCCAAATTTACCTGGAACTATTTTAAAGCTGATCTCTCAAAAAATTAAGGATAACTTGCATTTAATGTTCAGGAAAGTCATATGAAATAGATAAGATTCTTTAAACTTAGTTATTATGTCTTGTACACTTCCCTGTGCCTTGAACCACGTGCATTTCAGTACCCATGAATTTGTTGGCTGATCATAACTGTGCATAGTCAGTATTAAAAACAGTACCTGTTACAGCTATTATGTCCGTGACCTGTGTTTTAAAGAATAATTATGCTTGTGTCATTGAGTTTGCAAAAGGAAACTGTTTGCATATTTAATTTACCACTTACCTATGAATTGTAAATGAATCAGTTAAATCTTACATTTTGGTAAGAAGGTGGAAAACATGAAATGGATCTGTTTATCAAATAAAATGGAATTGCATGGATTGATTTTAAAAAAAAATAAAAATTTATTTTCACAACTGCATAAATTCATCTCTCTTTTTTTTTTTTTTTTTATTCCAGAATCGAATGGAAGAAAGCAAAGCACTCTTTAGGACAATTATCACATATCCATGGTTCCAGAACTCTTCAGTCATTCTGTTCTTAAATAAAAAAGATCTCTTAGAGGAGAAAATTATGTACTCCCATTTAGTTGATTATTTCCCAGAGTATGATGGTAAGTATATTGCCATCAGAGCTCATGCCCCATTTACACTATGGTAATGACAAAATGTAATAGCCTTGCCCATATTTTGCTTAGAGGTTCTTAGGACAAATATTCCCATTTATTATTACACCCATTTTCTTCTTTACAAATTGTACTTAGTACACCAAATGGCTAGTTTGTAATTGAATGACTTGCTGGTGATGTTTTTTTAAATTATATGAAAAGGAAAAAATTATTTAAAAAAACAAATTTTAATGGCCCGAATTTTTGAAGTCACTGAAGTCTTGTAGGATTTTCTAGATTACTAGGATTTCATTTTATACCTTCATTAATTGTGGATAGGATGGCAGTACCTTTCATGTGAAATTATTGATTCTAGATGAATAACATCATATTAGCAATGGACCTAATTCTGTCCTTGTTCATACAAGGGTGAGGGTTTGAATTGAAGTATAAAGCTAAAATTACATAAAAATACATTTCTCATCTTTACAGTGTCTCACATACTCTTCTTTTTATGATTTTTTGTTTGGTTTTTTGTTTGTTTTTTGTTCTTGGGGTTTTTTTTTGTTGTTTAAGGCTGGATATCTGAACAGAAGTGTCATAAATTCTCTGTGTCTGTCAGAGAAACCAGTATCACTCTTCCCACCCTTTCTGTTTTGTTTCCTTTATTTTAATTTTATGTTACTCATGAAATTTAATGTGCTTGTCTCAGAAAACATTATGTGGAACACACAGATGTTTCTAAGGAAGCTGTACTTTCAGAAAGTTCTCCTGAGGTGGAAAGTTAGGTATTCTAAGGTAACTGAGTAGAGGCTTTGATAACAGAGAAAAAAATCAAATTCCTACAATAACATCTCTTTTGTCTCACCAGAGAGTGAAAAGCAGATTCAAAAGCTACACAAAAGATTAAATCTCTCATTTTCAAAACTAGAGAGTGATAAAAGGAAAAAGTTACAGTTTTTTCCTGTTTGAGAGGAAAGAATGTGTTCACAGTGACCAGCTTGCAGGATCAGACCATACTTATTTATGAGTCAGTGTAAGTTTAGTTTGATAGTACTATACAGAAGAGAACTGACAGTTGAATAGCAAATATTCTTGTCCTTTCAAGTTACAAGTGTGACAGGTGCCCTAGATGACATCCTGCAGGTGAGAAGGCTCTATGGACCCTTCTGTTATCATCACTCAAGTGGAGATACACCTGTGTTAAATGCTTGTCCAGTAAAAAACAGACAAAATTCACACAGAATGGTTGAGGTTGGAAGGGACCTCTGGAGATCATCTGGTCCAACTCCCCTGCTCAAACAAGGTCACCTAGTGTCTGTTACCCAGGACCATGTCCAGATGGCTTTTGAATATCTCCAAGGAGAGAGACTCCACAACCTCTCTGGGAAACCTGTTCCAGTGTTCAGTCACCCTCACAGTAAAAAAGGGTTTCCTGATGTTCAGATGGAAACTCCTGTGTTTCAGCTTGTTCCCATTGCCTCTTGTCCTGTCACTGGGCACCATCAAGAAGAGCCTGGCCCATCTTCTTTATATCCTTCCTTCAGGTATTTGTACACATTGCTGAGATCCCCGACTGAGCCTTCTCTTCTCTAGGGTAAACAGTCCCAGGTTTCTCAGCCTATCCTCCAGTCCCTTCATCATCTTTGTGGCCCTTTGCTGGACTCTCTCCAGTATGTCCATGTCTCTCTTGTACTGGGGAGCCCAGAGATGGGCTCCAGGTGTGGCCTCAGCAGTGCTGAGCAGAGGGGAAGGATCAATTCCCTTGACTTGCTGGCAGCATTCCTACTAAGGCAGCCCAGGATACCATTAGCCTTCTTTGCCTCAAGGGCACATTGCTGTCTCATGTTCCACTTGGTGTCCACCAGGACCCCCAGGTCCTCTTCTACCAAGCTGCTTTCCAACTGGGTGGCCCTCAGCATATAGTGGTGTTTTGGATTGCTCCTTCCCAAGTGTGCAACTCGGCACTTCCCCTTATTGAACTGCATGAGGTTCCTGTCAGCCCATTTCTCCAGCCACTCCAGTTCCCTCTGGATGGCAGCCACTCCTCCAGTTTTGTGTCATCAGCAAACTTGCTGATGATACACCCTGCTCCCTCGTCCAGATCATTCAAGAAGTTAAACAGGACTGGGCACAATATTGACCCCTGGAGTACTCCACTTGTTACTGGCCTCCAACTAGACTTTGTGCCACTGCTCATCACCTTCTGATCCCAGCTATTCAGCCAGTTTTCAATCCCCCTCACTGCCTGCTCATCCAACGCATACTTCATCAGCTTCCCTATGAAGATCTTATGGAAGACAATGTCAAAAGCCTTACTGAAGTCTAGGTAGAAATATCCACTGTTCTCCTCGCGTCTACCAAGTCAGTCATTTCAAGATAGAAAGTTATCATAGAATCATAGAATACCAGGTTGGAAGGGACCTCAAGGATCATAGGATCATAGAATGGTTTAGGTTGGAAAGGACCTTGAAGATCATCGAGTTCCAACCAAAAAAGCGACACTTCCCAGTAATTTTTGCATATAGTCCATAGCTTCTTTTTCAATGTTAACATCTTTTAAAATATCCGATGTCTTTACCCAAATATATATATATAATTTAAATTATTTTACTATTTCCATACACTATGAATCAAGATATGTGTCTTGCTTTAAGACACAAATCACAGTAAATATTTTAATTTAAAGCATTCACAGAGAAACCACCACATCCATTTCAACAGTTAATTTTGTTTGCTTTTAAAAATCAGAGATTGTTTTTAGTTTATGTTTGTATAGCTTCAGCTCCTCCGTATTATGCCTTTATCTACTAGATTAAAGACTCCATTACAAGAAATAATGCAGGCAATTTTAGACTGTTGTCATGTGATTTCTTAACCTTTTTAGGTAAAAGAAACAGATTTACCCATATACTGTAAGGTAGGTTTTCCAGGCCTCAGATATTTTCTTTTTTCATGCCTTGTCACTTTGACAACAGCCTTTTTTGAAATGGAGGTGAAAAAGCTGTGCCCAGATCCTTCCCAGAACCTCCAGTACGCACTAGATGACTCATCTGGAAGTTTTCACTCCAAGCGTGGAGTACGCACCTTGTTTCTGGAAGACTGGGCTTGTGCAAGACTGTGTTAAATTGCTGTGTTTTGTCGTTCAAATAGACCCTCTGCCCGGCATGCTAATGTAAGCCACTGCTTATGTTATCATGCACTTATCATGAAATGTACAATTTTTGTGTCTTCTGCTAATTTTACAAGCAATAATCCCAGAAATTAATAAAAAAAATTATTATCAATAGGCTCAGAACAGATGTATCTGAAATCCCCGAAGTGAAAATTTCCTGTTTTCTGTTACTTTAATACTATCATCTGATAGTTTGTCTTGTCCGCTTTGCCATGGTTTCCAAAGCAATCTAATGAGCACCTATGAGAGATCTGGTAGCCTACTGTAGACTTATCTTTTTTGCCTCTATTTTTCTTTCATTGACATTTTTTTCTGCCCTGGGGGTTCACAGGGGAATGCTTATGATCATACACAGCTATTGCTGTCCTTCTACATCACAGTAGGCATAAGTTTATCCACAGAACTACACAAAACACTTGACAGGAAAAATGTTGGGGTTTTTGTTGTTTTTTTTTTTTTTTCCCAGAACAGACAAGAGGGAAGGAAAATCACTACAGAAAGTCTAACAGAAAGGTGTCTTTCTGGAGTCTGATCTTTGTGCAGAGTTGATAAAGAAGCTCAGCCTTCTGTTTCTGAGATGTTGCAAGGTGGTTCACTTTAGGAACTGAAAGGAAAAGACATCTGCCAAAGATTCAGTGAGAACAATATTCCTCTGGTTTAAAGGGGGAAAGATTGCTAGAAAGTATTATCTATAGCACTAGCCAGTCTTACCTAAATAAACGATGATTCCACGTGCCGTGCTTGTGAACTCATTAGATTTGTGTTTATGCTTGATATGCTAGGAAATGCTAGATCTGTTTGCACTGTTGCGGTCAGATGTTGTGTTTCGGTTGAGAGGCGGTGGAAGAATTTACCGCTTCTCTACCTTGTATCATCCCACATGAACATTTAATAGAATCATAGAATCACAGAATACCAGGCTGGAAGGGACCTCAAGGATCATCTGGTCCAACCTTTCTTGGCAAAAGTGTGGTCTAGACAAGGTGGCCCAACACCCTGTCCAGCTGAATCTTAAAAGTGTCTAATGTCGGGGAATCCATGACTTCCCTGGGGAAATTATTCCAATGGCTGATTGTTCTTATTGTGAAAAATTTTCCTCCGGTGTCCAATCGGAATGTCCCCAGGAGTAACTTGTACCCATTACCCCTCATCTTTTCCATGTGCAAAAAGGAAGTCTCTGTCTTCTTTGTAGCCACTCTTTAAATACTGGAATGTGGTGATAAGGTCTCCCATAAGCCTTCTTTTCTCAAGGCTGAACAAACCCAATTCTCTCAGTCTTTTCTCACATGGCAGGCTTCCCAGAGCTTTGATCATCGTTGTGCCCCTTCTCTGGACCCTCTCCAGCCTGTCCACATCTTTTTTGTGTAGGGGGGACCAAAACTGAACACAGTATTCCAGGTGTGGCCTGACAAATAGAGTGGAATAATGACTTCTTTGTCTCTGCTGGTGATGCCCTTGTTGATGCACCCCAGCATCCTGTTGGCTTGCTTTGCTGCTGTAGCACACTGTTCACTCATATTGAGCTTGTTGTCTACGAGGACCCCCACGTCCCTTTCCATAGAGCTGCCCCTGAGCCAGGTAGATCTCAGCCTGTGCTACACTCCTGGATTATGTTTTCCCAGGTGCAAGACCTTACACTTGTCCTTGTTGAACTTCATAAGGTTCTTGTTAGCCTACTCTTCCAGCCTATCCTGGTCTTCCTGCTGGGTGGCTCTCCCTTCCGAAGTGTCTGCTTTCCCACTCAGTTTGGTGTCATCAGCAAACTTTGTCAGGTTATACTTGATCCCATTATCCAGATCACTTATGAAGATATTAAACAGCATTGGGCCCA